AAGTACAACCAAATTTGGAAACTTATACAATACATGCTCTAAGTCCACAACTAATATGATGTGATGAATGTCGAATCTTCAGTGTGCGATTCGTTGCACGCTATGCATGAATGATGTTAAATACGAAATGTGCAAATCATTACACAAGGCAACAATATATTCAATAAGGAAAACATATTCTCATGAGTATAAACATAACAACTATGTTATCCAATCCTCAAAACATAACCAAATGAATATACAACAAGTCCATGTCCAGGATTTTGATATAGAAATGACTTTCAAACACAATTAAATCCATGGCTCAATTCGATAGAATTTAATTAAATAAAAATAATTAAATTCCCTAGATTCTAATTCAATTCCAAATAACCTCAAATTAATACATATTAAAGAATATGGCATGGTCATCACCTATATCCATTCTAAAACTCAATTAGGTTATTGGAATAACAAAGTAGAACCCTAATTAAATCATGTTAATTTAATTACCAAGGTTCTAAAGCAACTTCAAATGGTCCACAATTAATATATACTAGTAAACAAGTCGTGGCCAATACAAATATCAAGTTAAAATCTTAATTAAGCTAATGGGACCACAAAATAGATTTTAATTAATTTTTTTAATTAAAATCTCTAGATTTTCAAATTTAACCAAATGCTCTCAATTTAACATATCTTAGAGAACATGTCAAGGACTAATGTAATATCACATTACAAGCTTATTTTATGCAAGTTATACCTATGTAAATTAAACTTTCACTAAAGTTAAATATAAAATAAAGGTTGCAATTCTCATGCAATTAATCCCAATTTAATATATGTGAACAACCACACTAAAACTTAATTTTGTAGCATGCTACAATTCAATTCCAAGTTGTATATCACCATGAGGATTAAATCTTAAACAAGGAAATTAATTAAATGAAAGGTTTCAAAATCTCACCGAATATTCTAAATCAAATATATGTGAAATTATATGGCATGTAGATCAAGAATATCAAGTCAGAATTCAAATGGAGTGAATAGTGCACTCGGGGCAAATTAATTAATAATTACTAATTTTCAAAACACCTCCAATTACTTTCAAATTCAACTATGTTTAAGAGCATGCTAAGGCCTAATATAATATGCTAACACATATTAATTTCAAGCTAGTTAAGGCCATGTGAATTAATCTTTCACCTAAGATAAATATGAAATAAAATCTTTAATACTTATTCAAATGTTCCAATTTTAATACACGACAATGAGCATATCAAGGGGCAATATAAAATCATGCTACATGTTTAAACCAAGTCATGAGCAACCGTGAAAATTAGATCCCGTACAAGAAAAATAAATAATAAAATCTCTAAATTTTATATTTAACCATGCAAACAAGTATTATAAGCATCACAAGCATGCTATATAACAAAAATTTAAACCTAGAACATCTCCTACCTCAATTTGAGATGAAAATCTCAAATGCCATCAAAATGGAACGGTTCCGAATCCGACGAAACTACTAGGTTTTGTCGGGGACAACGCCGTGAACATAACCCCCATGAAAGCCCCATCAAAATCATAACTTGACCTCAAAACTAAGCTCAAGAAATGGTCAAAACTGAATTCTAATAAGGAGGAAAGGTAGAGCACGGTGAGGGGAACAACAAACGTTAAGGCCGAAGACTTTCCATCAAGGAAAAGTGAACCAAAAGAGGAGAGAGAAGATGACAGCACCCCTTGGGCTGCCATGGGAGCTCCAGGTCGTGCATGAAGAGGGGAGAAGATGAAAAATGAAATATCTCACCCCCCTTTTATAGAAATCTCAAAAAGTGCCCCGAACATGCCCCGCCGGGTCCGAAAAAGTAAAATTTGAGCAGACGAGCTCAAATGGCAAAACTTTGTGAACGAAAAAGATTTAAAATGATAAAATATGAATAACAGAAGAAACAGCGTTGAAAACCGAGTCCCGAGCAGAAAGTTATGCCCAAAACAAGTTTGGCACAAACTAGGGCCAAAAACCCTGAAGCTGGAAAATATCGACCAGGAGGAAATTCCAAGAGTACACAACTCGACGAAATGTGAAAATGAATCCCGTACGAGGATCCAGGCTCAAAACAAGACATTTTGCAATAACTTTCATTAATTGCACAATGGCCCCTCCAAAAAGTGAAAACTGCACTTATGACCCTAAATAAAAATATCTTCCAAAAATATTTTCTTAAAAACTCCTGAAATAAAATATCTTCAAAAAATATTTACGAAAAACACCCCAAGAAAAGAAAATAATTTCAAAGAACTTTGCATCCATGCCCCTATGGACACCGGGAGTAACCGGAGTACTTTCTTGTAAAAGTAAAGATACGTATTTCGAGAAAACCACTCAAGATGAAGGCATGTGAAGTCAAAAACCAACTCCGAGTATGAGAAGTGAGGTTGTGCCAACAATGTAACAAATGGGGAAAAGACAGAAAAGGGAAAAAGACGAAACAGAAAAAATGATGAAAGTCACTTAGTGTCCGAAAAGTGAAAATGCAGAAATGACTCGATCCTCAAAGGAAGTTATCAATCCATGGAATAGAGTCTCAGGAACCAATTCCGAGCACTCGAGATGACACTAAGCGACACGAAACAGAGCTCAGAAAAGAAAATTAAACGAAAAAAATTCATTCGTAAAATTTCAGAAAAAAAGAAAGGAAGGCAAATGACCGGGTTGTTACAACAACCGTTCAACCTCAGTTTGATAATCTTTGACAGACTCTTCTTGCTGTAATTTTAACAGTGCTCCATGAAAATCAGTATGCATTGAGGGCCCAGAGTGAGCTATCAGAGCATCAAGGAAGGTTGCCTATTAGATGGTAGTGTGCTTTGATTCAATCCAGTCCATCTAAGGGGTTACATCTCCCTCCAAATGAAAGGACGATATCTCAACCCGTTGATCATCTGGCACACCATGATAACAAAAATATCACTCTGCCCGAGAAATCCAATCCAATGGTTGTGATCCGTTAAATGTGGAAAAATACAGCTTAATGGGTAGAATGCCCATGGAATGAGAATTGACATAAGGGTGGCAGTCGCTGAAGATTCGCCTAGGTACGAAGGCTGCTTTGGCCCAACGCGTAGCTGTTGGACTTCTTGTTGCTTTATGGTAATTTATTGCAGGGAATCTCGTATCTCATTAAGGTGAACAGTTGTGTCTTCCTTGTGAGCTTGAAGGTCTAATTCAACACTCTGGAACTCTTGGGATTGCCCGGCCTTCTCGGGAACCTCTTGGGATAGCCTAGCCTTTTTTCCATGATTGTACTATCTCTGATACCAAATGGTAGGTTCAGAACCTCAAAAACAAAGACGAATTTGTTGGGTTGTCTCCCACAAAGAACATTCTTATTACTTTTCTCAGATGCCCCAATTGGGCTTACAAGTTCTGAATTTATTAACTCAAATTCCCCACTCTATGGAGGGAATCATATCTTACCTAACTAAGTGATAATAGAATGATAAACCTGAATAACTACTTGTAGTTGTAGATGAAGATAACAATTAATAGAAAGATAAAGATGCCTGAAAATAGGGGAATGCAAGGATTGGGTTGTAGGAACCCTAACATTGTTGTAGATGAACTATAAAGAGAGGGGATATAATCATAAAAAAAAAAAAAAAAATCTCACATCAATGGAGGCGAGGCTGAAGGGGATTTCAAGCGGCGAGAGCATTTCGACGTCGGCGAATGGGCAGCGAGCAGACCCGATCATGTTCGTCGAGTGGGAGGAGCGAAGAAACACCTATATGCTATGTTCGAATCCATCTTTTCAAATAGCATTTGTGAGACTGCCCCTTTTCCAGCTGGTTTTGCTTCGTGATTTTGTTCCCAATAGTGATGGAAATAAGCTGTTGCTCTTTTTTTCTGGCAACATGGGTTACCCAGGAATTAGGAAGAAGGCGCCTCTGCAGATTAGAAGCGATAAGAAGTAAATAATAATAAAAAAGGGGTTCTACTCGGATGGGCAATCCCTATTTTAATTTTTAGACTTACCTTCCTTGTATATTACCTAAAATTAATAACGGAAACTCTCATATAGTTTCAAATATAACACTTATTATATTATACTAATTCAATGTTGTTTACCTACTGATTCAGTGTTGAGTTCGTTGACTTTGACTATAAGGTGTTGAATGACTACTATACCTACTATACTTTTCTTCACGAACAAAATAGCATTTCAAAGCTTTCTAAGGCTGTTAAGTAAATATTGAGCATCATATGAGCAGATAAGAGTATTAGATTTTATGATAAAAGGAAGTCAGCATTAAACCGGCGTGACCAAGATGAGAGATTTTGTTATTTAGACAATTTAAAAAAAAACAATAAGTGTAATTATCCTTTGAATTCAAAAAAAAAAAAGGAAAAAAAAAGGACATGCTTACTTTTTTCTTGTTTTTTTTTTAGGAGACCTTGAACTTGGGTTAAATATATTGTTGGTTCGAAATTTGGTCAGACCACACTGTTTTAACGACACTGAATCCTCTATTTTCGTTGAATTAATAACATTAATATGGCCTTAAAATTCCGAAAAAAAAAAAAAAAAATTATGTCATTCAAAGGAAAAAAGAAGAAGAAGGTAATTAACACGTGTTACAAAGTGCATCTCTCTCCTCGATTTCCTTCTCACTCCAATGTTCTAGCTAAGCCTCCCCCATTCAAAACCTCTAAGGGTATGCTTGGTACGGTGGATTTGAAGGGAAGGATAAGATTAGTTACGAGGGAAAGGGAAGGAAAGGAAAGGGAAGGATTATTTTAACCCTTCATTGTGTTTGGTTAGTCAATGAAGAAAAAGAAAGGAAAGGATAATAATTATGTTTGGGAGAAGAAAGAAAAGAGAAGGATAATAATAAATTTACTATTATACCCTTATTATATATATATATATATATATATATATATATATATATATATATATATAGTATACCTGCAAAAAAAAAAAGCAAATCATTACAGCTCCCCATTCTCGCCTCCATCCCCATTATAAAAATTTCTTTCTTGAACAAGGGCGATCCAGATCCGGCTGTAGCACCTTCGTTCTTGAAGGTTCCGATCCAGGGCAAATCATTTCAGCCTTCCCAATCTCGGCCTCCATCTCTATTATCGTTCTCAACTCTCTCTCTCTACAAGATTCAGAAGTTCAAAACCCAAACCCATATATTTCAGTTTATCTTTCTGTCTGCAAGAATCAAAAATTCAAAACCCGTATCAGTATATCCGATTGTTCAGAAAATCAAAACCCATATCTTTCAAGTTTCCATCGTCACTATTCCAGTTCGGGTTCGCCATCGCCGCTGTTCCAGTTCGGGTTCGCCGTTGCCCGCCGTCTCTCCATTCTTTCTGCAACTGCTATCTTGTATGTATATTGATTTGAGAGTAAAATTGGCATCATCAACCATTACCTTCCCTTTCCTTTCATTTCCTCCCACTTTTGGGAGGTTAAACAAATCACTGTAGAAGGCTATGCATAACCCTCCAAACCTTCCCTTTCCTTCCCTTCCACCCATTTTACCCTAACACAGTTTTTTAGTTACCCTCCATCACCTTCCCTTCCCTTTCCTCCCATTTCTACTCTACCAAACTGAGCCTAAATTTTGTCAATGCACTCATTTTAAATCTCAGAGACCCAAATCGATTCAATTCTCTGTACCCATATTTTTCTTGGGTTTTGATTGTTGTGAATAGAAAGAGATTGTGCGTGAGAGAGTCCCAAGGTTTTCAATTGGAGTCCGCATTTTGAGTTCGTCGGCATTAGTCGGGTTTGCCGCCTCCACCGCCACATCGCCACCATAGCCGGCGGTGGCACTCCTAAGGGTCTTCTTTCACTTCTAGGTACGTTTCATTTGCGAAATCGTTTTACTGCTAGAAACATAATTGATTTATTTATTTATTTTTAAATTTTAAATTGCTTGCATGTTGAACTGATATACATCACAAAGTGTTTCACAAGGTAAAATTGCTTAAATGGTTTTGGATTGATCTGAATGAAGACATTTTATTTGAAATTGAAGATTGTTGGAAGCAATAACATAAAATAATGAAACGGCTATCATCCCCCCTGTACTCTATAAGCCATTTTCTACTCTGTAACATGTAGTAGAATTGTGCTAATTAATTAGTATTATCACCTAAGGCGTTTTGACTTTCATGGAGTTGAGACCAAATTGCAATAGTGTATGGACCAAACGGTGGTGGATAAATTAAGAGGGTCAGTTGTAAAGTATGCTTTGTGACGGAACATGTAGACTGGATCAAGTACATTGTGTGGAGCAAACGGATTGTCGATAACAAGTTGCAGTAGATTGTGTAAAGTTGGAGCATTAGGAGGATCAAGTAACAACATCCATTCCAGCCACCTGCTACACATAGAGAGCACAATCTTAGATACACTGTTAAAAGTTAAAGTTCATTCCATTTCTTTTACCTTAGTAATCAAATTGGATTTGAAGTCCTATTGACTATTGTCCTTGTTCTAAACATATACCAAATATCAAAATAGGTACCTATTCAATTGCGTGTAGGAGTGTTTGAAGTAAAAAAAGAAAAAGAAAAGATTGTAGCATCTTTACACTACAATTAATTGATATTTTATTTTTATTTTTTTCCTAATCCAATTTTTATTCGACCAACAAGAACACCAAGCCAGCTAACAATGTTGCATGCTCTCCAGAAGCAGGCAGCTTAAAAAAAACCATTTCCAAAACCCTTCTAACAAAAACAGGGTATAAAAGAACGGAGAATAATTCAAAAGAAAAAGACATTCAGTAGTCCAGCAACAGGGAATATCTATAATATAGACATGCATCAAACCAGGAAATTACCAGCTAGAACTATCAGGTCCAAGCATCCAAATACTATCCTCCCATGCTCTTCTTTAGATCAGATAAGCCAATCCCCATGGTGTCACAGACCTAAAAAATAATTGATTTTGAAGTATTTTGAGAAATTCCACTATGTAACCTTCCATTTTTTCTTTGGACTGCCCCTATCATGAACCATTGCATAACTTGATCAACAGCTTCAAATTGCCTCTATTGCCAATTTAGAAATTCAAACATTCCTATCCAAACTTGCCGAGCATAAGAACATTTGACAAACAGATGGTCTATTGAGTCACCATCGCGCATGCAGTTAAAACATACAGGTACTACAATCATTCATCTCCTTTTAAGGTTCAATAAGGAAGGAAATTTATTTTGAATCATTAAACAAGTTGTAATACTAGCAGCAGGTCTGCATCTATTCCAGATCAAGAGATACCAACCTTTTTTTGAGTAAGGAAAACTGCAGCAATTTCAAAAGGCTTTAAAGGAACAGTTACTTTTTTTCAAAGAGATCAAGCCTCAGCCATGGTGAATCTCAGTAGAAGAAATCTGATCCCTTATGAGTTCTGAAGCTGAATCTAGGACTTAGGCCTCACCCACCTGCCGGCTTGAAGAATACTACACTGATCAGCATCTTTATGGATATCAAATTGCCTCACAATATAATGCCCAAATATTTGAATTAGAGATGAGCCTTTCCACTAAGGGTCAAGAAACAGATTTAATGATTTATCATCACCAATTTTGAATTCTGAGTCTGCAATTAAAATCTGTATAACCTCAATTAAACATTTCCAGTTTCTAGAATGATGATTTTTTGGAACACAATACCAAACAGATGGTTTATGTAGATTCATAGCTTTGATCCAAGCTATCCACAGTCTGTCTTTGTTTTGTATAAAATCCGAAAGCAGTGTACACTTTGCATTCTTGTTTATATCTGCAACCTTCCTTATCCCAATTCCCCCTTCAGCTTTTGGTCTGGTAACATCATCCATTTCTTCAAATGAAGTTGTCTGATATTTAAACAGCTTCTCAGTTTGCCCTATAGCAGCCATTGGCAATTTGAAAGCATGAAGCTACTGTTTTCAATAATTCTACTCTACCAGCCAAGGAAACATTTAAAGAACTCCAGCTATTCAGTTTTGGAGCTTTTTATATTAAAGGTTTGCAATCCCCATTTGTAATCCGTTTGTCTGTCATAGGTAAACCCAAGTATATGATGGGGAGAGTACCCATTCTCATGTTTATCATTATAATAATTCTTCACTTCCTTCTCACTGAGTTGGAGAAATAAACTTGACTCTTTTCCATATTCACAGCAAGCCCAGATAATTTTTTGAACCTGTCAAGACAATTTGAAATACTTCTATTAGATCCCATACGAGCTTTTGCTACTATAAGCAGTTCATCAACATCGAAGCAATGAGGGAAACCAATGCGAGCTTTTTTAACTGGAGCGCAATATTGAAATATACTTTACCTGACCTCAGTTTGCATTTGAAGCTGATAATAGCTTATTAGGTCTTAAGAACTTGAAATTTACACATTTACAATACATGGTTAAGCATTCGATTTGTCAACTTAGCATTCGTTCAATTTCTTAAATATTGCTTTCGGATTATAAGAACTTGAACGTCATAAATTATAGTGTGTGTATATATATATATATATATATATATATATTGACAAGGCTTGAAAAATTGGGATGATTGTTTTAAAGTAAACCATATACTTTTTGTAGTAATTGTCATTTGATTAAACTAAAAGAAATGGTTGTTATAGAAAAAAGTAAAAGAAAACACAAATTATCTAAAGCCTAATTATTAAAAGAAATACATACCGTAAACACAAGCCAGTAACCCTACAACTAGAGACGAAATGAATACAACTAATAGTGCTGCAAATACATAGGTTTTTTTCAATAAAATGCAAAATTAAATATATTACATAGAAAATAAACAGTAGAGAGATAGACTTCCTAACCCTAATGGCCTAACCCGAGTAGGACATAGAAAAGTAAGAGAATGGGAGAATGCATTGCACTACGAACTTTCATTACTGGAAATAGGACATGGTAATATTCTGAAACGTCCTCTCTTTCCTTTTATTTTTCCTTCTACCCCTCTTTTTTTTTCCATCCTCCCTTTCCATTTCTTGTCTTTCCTTTGGATGAGAAAAACTTGACTTTTTTATTGGATGAGAAAGACATTATTATTATTATTATTATTTCATTTTGGGCTTTAAGATCAAAGGCCAACACAAACCCACTAATTTCGAATTTGGGTTTGAGTCGTGTTGATGGGTTGTGCCAAACTAAAAGCATTGATCGAATAGAGAGGGGAAGGCATAGAGATACAATGGTTCCAGCTGTGAAAGAGAAAAGAAGGGGAGGCTTAGAGAGAGAGAAAGGGTTTAGCAGTGCAAGAAAAAAACAAATGCAAAGAGAGAGAATGTGTTTGGCCATTCGTAATGGCGTTGATGAATCTGGCACTCAAAACGACATCTTTTGAAGATATTTCCTTGAGTGTCTGAAGTGGTGTCTTATAAATTGTACTTCTGCGTAACATAAGAAGTGCCAACGTCTTAAGGTAATTCATACCCTAGAAATCAGTGCTCATTGTTGTGATTGAATTAGAAGATTCAATTGTTCGAAAACATAGTAGATCATTCATGTATTGTCATCTTTCGTAATGTTTTGTATATTATCGTTTTTATATAAACCCTAGCTAGATTTATTGCATAAATCTCACTACATCAACTCTGGAATGGTCACATTGCCATTTTGGATCTTTGACATGTTTCCTCTGTTTGTTTTGAATTAGAATGGTTCTTCCAAGTAATTTGTTGAAATATTAATGTTCGGAATCCATTTACATTGGCTGGTGTTTTATAAGTGATGCTGTTTTCTTAATCTTTAATTCGAGTGGTTGATGAATATTCCCGAAACGCTCACTTAAACTGTCTATCTAATGGGTTCATCTGGAAAGAAATTAATTTCTCAGAAAAATCTCAATCCAAACAGACATGGGTCGTGCAAAAAATATATCTTGTGAAACATTTCATGTTCAATTAAAACATAGCTTCAGGATTTGATGAATTTTATTGTAACTAATACTGCTTTGAGGATTATTGCCGTTTATATTATAAAGAACATGAATGCCTACTGTTTCATTTCTTGGTAGTTTGGAGACAGATTCTATTTCATTTTATTGTAGATTGGAGGCCAATTCCAACTTTTTACGTTATCAATCTGCGATGATATAACTTTTTCACTTTTTGTAGAAATCAAACTCTTAACCTTTCTAATTAAAACTAAAAGAGGCTTGAGTTAAGAAGTAGTTTGGAAAGGCTTTGTTTGGTTGAGTTGAGTTTAAAATTTGTTATGAGGAATTTTTCAGGAAAGCTTTCATTTTGAATTATGTGGTAACCTGTTAGACCTTGAAACGAGATAGAAAAAGGGGTAGCTCAGTGCATGAGGCTCCTGCTACTTTGGGCTCTAGGGTGGATTAGATGTACATGGCCTTACCTCCGCACGTGGAGAGGCTGTTTCCTTTTTCAAACCCGCAACTTCCAGCTCAAATTGGAGCAACCTTACCGTTGCGCCAAGGCCCGCCCTCAGACCTTGAAACAAGATACTTTAGAAAAGTTAATCTATTTCAATATGTTATTTTATTGTTTTTTGCGGAGTATGTTTTGAACTTAATAAAGTTTAAATTACCCATGGGCACTTGTTTTGTTTTATTACTTTCCCAGATTCTTGTAATAACAATTGGAATATCAAGTATATATTATATCTCCCTTGACTCATTAGTGCAGATATGGTCATTCTGTTACCAAGATCAAGGAACGAGCATGCCGTCCTTATCTCAGTTTGTTGCCTCCAATGGCAATGTGTTCTGGGCTGGTTCTTCTCTCGTATTTGGCTCTATATTCTTTCTATGTTTCTTCTACACAGCAATTATGTCAAAGTTTCTTCCACCATCAGAGAATGTTATCTTATCTGCCATACAAAATAACAGGTAAAATTCTGTTGCACTGAGTTCCATCTCTAGACAAATAATTGAAAATTTTGACATTGCTGATTCCTATATTAAACAATATAATATTCTTCTAATTTTCTAAACTATTGTTTACCCAGGGGAATGATGTGTTTCGCTCAATGTTCGGCAAATTAGCTAGTTTTGAATTATTATTGTAGCACTGTATTGTCACGCTTCTCAATATTGAAATCATATACTTTCTCCTGGTTATTGTATATTGGGGTGCATTGCATTCAATTAATGGAGTATCTTTAGGGTTGTTTATGGTGCTCAAAGTTACACAAAATTCGAGATACAAGTATACATACGATTAAAAAAATTGTGATTTAAGTTCACCAAGTAAATATTAGATAGACGTCTAATTCTTTTTGCTATGTCTTAGTGATGGAGATCAGGACATGGCTCGAACACATGAATTGCACACAACACTCACCTATGTTTGGAAAATGGGCAAGGACAGATAGATTTTTATAGTTTTCCTTTATATTTTAGGAATTACAATACATAAGAGTTAGCTTTACAATATTTCTTTTAATTTGTATTAGGATTAAGTTTGCCTATGAATAAGGTCTGCAGCTTGGTTGGACTGAACAGAGCTATTTTACAGATCCAAACATAGGCCGGCTATATGTTTCACTAGCATAACAGCCATTTTTGAATATGTATGTTTGCAGCAGCTATTGTGGACCTTAAAGTTCTTTATATTGCCTATATATACATAGGCATATGTGTTGTATTGATCACCTTTTATGAATATTGAAATTGAGTATTGATTGCAGATTTCTTCTCCCTCAGATTCCTCTTCCTTCGTCTCTTATTCCCTTTCTCTTCTATCTCTTCTTATCACTCTCCTTCTCTCTTCTGGTTCTAAATCACTTGCGCCCTCTTCTACATCAGTTGGTATCAGAGCTCACTATTCTTCCTGCATCAATTGGTATCAGAGCAAAAGGATCCATAGCACTCTTTGTCACTGTTAACTACACCCTGTAAGCCACAAACATTATCAGTCTCTTTCACCTAAACCCAATATCAAAGCCTCAAACAATTCCAACAGAACAACCCCAACCCCTCTGTTGTGAAACCCCATCCAGCTCACCATCTTCATCCACAACCATTACCCATAACATCTTCACTGCAACCAACCAAACCCATTTAAACCCCCAAATAACCGAAGAACACCACCCAAACAACCCTCAATTGTTGCCACTAATCACAACTCATACCATCAATTTCACCCACTGCTACACCCTCACAAAAACCGTCAACACCACAAACCCCCACACAATAATCCAGGCCAACCACAGCCCCATTGCAAAACCCGACCATCGATCAGTCCCACAGTCCCTATAACCCTAAGCAGACCTTCACTGACCCCAAAAAAAAAATAAAGGAAGAAGAAGAAGAAGTCGATCAGCGATGAACAACTCACTGGGACTTCAGACGAAGTTTCTTCTTAACATCGGCCTCTTCTCGCTGACTTCTTTGACGTCGATATTTCATCATCGAAGTGTTGCTGCTGTCACCGGTTTCTTCACGCGAACTCTTGCCTTCACACTCCAGATCGCTAGTGTTTATTTGCAAGAGGCAAAAATGGCAGTGGGATATTAATATCCCAGATCTTACCTGTATCCACTTTACCCATATTTGACCCACTTTAAGATCCAGGCCCTTTTTTTTTACTTTAGCGCAGCAGACAATTTTTATTTAAGCCCAGCAGTTCATATTTATTTTTATTTTTTTTTCTTGGTACTCACACACACATGCTTCCATTGAGGCTTGAACCCCTGACCTTTCTTTGGAAAGTAAGAGCTTGACACCGCTAGGCGACTGGCCCGTTGGTGCAGTTCATTTTTATTTGAGTCTATAATGTGTCCATTTCATTAACAGCCCAGCCCTTTAAAACTCATGACCCAAGAGCTAGACTCAACCAGCCCAAACCTGAATCTGGCTCAATCCATATCCAGCACTAGGCTTGCACCTGTTTGGTTACGAGTTCAGAACTAGTCCAGTTTTGAAACTGGACCAGAACTGAACTAGTTTGGTAACACCGTTTAAAAAAAATTATTTTCACAGTGGAATTCATCTGCCTCAACTTGGAGAGCTGCATTGGAACAGTTTCCTCGCACATCAAGATTTGGTAAAGTACACATACTCCCTTGAAAATTGGTTTCAATACTTTTATCTGTTTTGGTAAGTCTTATAAAATTCTGCAAGCTTTAGTTGAACATTGCTAGTGATATGTTAAACCAATTTTTGCTTGTTCATTCATCTGCACTAGACCACCATATCTTGCTATCACTTTCGTAGCTTCACCTTCACCTTCACCTTCACTTCATTTCAATTTCTTGCTTTTGCATTGTGGTTGTTCATAGTTTTGTTTATTTAATTCAATTTCAGTCCTATATTGGCGAATGTCCTTAACCATTCTCATGCCAATTCCATTTCCTTGAGACCACCATGATTGTCCTTAACCTGTATGAGTACATCAGGTGTGATAAATCTGTTTCTCAAAGACTTAGACAGGGCATTAGGAACATTCATCACCCTACTCATGTCAAGTCACTATACCACCATCATGACTTTGTCTCTAGTCCAAGACCATCCCGAGAGCCTTACATGAGACAAATCAACTTTAGGGAAAGTCAGATCCAGAATCCTACTAAGAGGGCTCCAGTTGTCCAACCATGTCAAGTATCTGAACATATAAATTTTTCCAAGTATTTAGGTGGCTTGGACAAGGTTGGATCATTATCTGACTATGACACTTTCAATAATGATGTAATGCGCATCCCAGATGTCTTCATAAGAAAAGATGAAAGGACACACGCTGACATTTTCCGCACCTTTCTCAATTTAAGAGAAAAGGTCTGCAAGATCATTATTGATGGAAGAAGTGCATTCATTATTGATGGAAGAAGTTCAATAAATGCAGTGTCAAAATGAGGAATTGCAAGAATGAAATTAGAGCTTGAACCTCACCCAAAGCCATATAGAATGACCTGGATTGATGAAACTTTCTTGTCCATCACAGAAAGGTGCTTAGTTCCTGTTCAAATGGGTGCTTACTTTGCTTTGCCTGTAGCCCACGTGCTACTTGGTTGCCCTTGGATTTATGATTTAGATGTGACTCACCACAGCACAAATAATCATTATAGTTTCAAGTATTATGGTAAAATATCATGCTAAGACCTATAAATCTTGATAAAGCACCATGTAGGCCTTCTCATCAATCTTGTGATGACAAATGCATTCTGGCAAGAAACACAAAAGAAATGCCTAAGTTTGTTTTCCATTATCCATTTGACAAGTTGTTGGAATCTTCACCACCTAAAATCATTAAGGAGCATGCATTTTAAGATGTACCTCTAGAGGAACCTCAAATTAAGTTGTCACCTATAATGGAAAATCAGCTCTGTCGACTTGGTTCCAGGATCACGGTTAACTAAGGAACAAGTTGGACCTGAACAAGAAGTGAATGGATCTTTACAAGAAGAATTCATTCAAGATCATCTTGAAGAAAATATTCGAATTCACGAATTCCACTCTTCTATTGTGTCAAATAGGGATGTCAAGTATAATAACAATTTTTGGAGAACACTGGGGACATTTTTAGGAGCAAATTTGAAATTTCCCTCAACCTTTCATCGTCAAATTAATAGACCGAGGTTATCAATCGAAGTCTAGGATGTTTGATTGAGTGTCTTGTGGTAAACTGCCTCAATGCGTGGGACTTATTTTTGCCTATCATGGAGTATGCTTATACTAGTTTGACCACTGAGTTTACTGGCACTTGCTCTTTCGAAATTATCTACAATTCTTTGCCATACCGGTCGATTGATCATATTCCATCGTCTCCATATTTGTACTCGCTTAAATTTGTGGATTCCTTTGTTCAGCTTGTCCATCATTTTCATGCCTATATGCGACAAGAAATTGTCTTGAATTATAAGAATTAGGAACTTGTTGCGGATGCTCACAATAGTAATCATGCATTCATTGAAGGAGATTGTGTTTATGTGCATCCACAATTCTGCCTCAGAACTCCTTCAATGGACATTTCCACATCATTAATAAATCCAAACCTAATATATATTTATTTGACTTACCATCAGATAATAGTGTTAGTCCAGCTTTTCATGTGGAGTATTTATCACCTAACCGAGGCACCTTTAAGCCTCCTGTTTTGTTAGCTTGTGTTCCTACACGTGGAGTTACATTTTCTCTCGCACACACCGTTGTTCTCCCGCCATTTCCGTCATGTTATATGGATTGGATCAAAGATAATCTTGGCCATCACAAGGATGCTTCTCATCTGGAAAATAGTCAGTACTATCTTGTTCAATGGAGAGGTTTTTTAGATTCTCATATTGCATGGAGTATTGATGATGAGTTTTGCCCTATTGACTCGGACTTCTTAGAGCTGTACTACCAACTTTACTCTTCGGAGAAGAGTTGTTCAACCGGGGAGAATTGATGGAGATCAGGACCTCGAACCATGAATTGAACACAACTCTCACCTATGTTTGGAAAATGGGCAAGGACAGATAGATTTTGTAGTTTTGCTATATATTTTAGGAATTATAATAAATAAGAATTAGCTTTACAATAATTCCTTTAATTAGTATTAGGACTAAATTTGCCTATGAATAAGGTCTGCAGCTTGGTTGGACTGAACAGAGCTATTTTGTAGCTCCAAACATAGGCTGGCTATATGTTTCACTAGCATAGCAGCCATTTTTGAATCTGTATGTTTGCAGCTGCTATTGTGGACCTTAAGGTTCTTTGTATTGCCTGTATATACATAGGCATATGTATTGTATTGATCACCTTTTATGAATATTGAAATTGAGTATTGATTGCAGATTTCTTCTCCCTCAGATTCTTCTTCCTTCCTCTCTTATTTCCTTTCTCTTCTATATCTTCTTATCACTCTCCTTTTCTCTTATGGTTCTAAATTACTTACACTACCCTCTTCTACA